CACCTCACCTTCCAATACGGATTAAGTTCGTAAGTTGAGACCCCACTGTAGACAAAATACTTGCCACGTGTTGGCTGGATTTTGAGTGCAAAAGAAATCCAGATACTAATTTTCAGTGCTTTGCCTTGGCAAGCAACTGGGATTTTGGTAAATAGTTGAATGGGAGTAGTGGCAGTAATTTTTGTACATTTTGATTAAACTCTCTGGAGGCTATTAGGCAAGAGCAGAGATGGGAAGGCCTGGAGGAGGGGGCAGAAAAATTTTTGAGGAAAATTTTCCCTCAAAACCGTTTTTTGTTGTAATCAGAAACTGCTGATTCATTTAATATTTGTCTCCTTGTATTCATCAGTTCCGGAGACCCCAATGAATACAAAGGAACGGATATTTACCCATTTGTCCCCCACAGCCAGAGAGGGAAGACTAGCCTTCCCTCTCTGCCTATGGCTTATCCTCTCTGCCCATGGGCCTGCCAAACAGCTGACTGGTGGGCCCATAGACACAGAAAAGGGCAAGGCCAGCCCAGCCCCCTGCCCCCACAGCTGAGTCCCCCTTCCCACTGCCCCTGTTGTCTCCTTACCTTGTCTGCTGCCATTGCCACCTGTGGCCTCCACCACTGCCATCTTTGCAAAGATGGTGGCTGTGGCTTCCCTTAGGGTTGGTTCTGATGCCCTAAGGGAAGCAACCACTATCTTTGCAACAGCCAGCTTCATGGTCTGTCGGTCAACCCTGGGGATATTTCAACCCTAATGAATCACAAACCAAGACAAACCACAATTTGGGCAGTTTGTCCCCGTCTCTAGTAGATATATATTCCAGAAGCAGTAGGGTCTCAGCAAACTTGAATTACAATAGCTGGAGGGCCACCTTCTCTCATGTAAACCAGTCCATAAATTCATTTCATCCACCAAAGCCCTGTTTCCATCTGCTGCCCAACTGCAAGGCCTTTTCTATTGAGGTGGAATGTGGAATGCTCGTCCTAAACATTTGCCTGGTAGGCATTTGTTTTAGATGATTGTGAAACTGACCACACAGAAATTGCAAAGTATGAACAGTACAGTGGTGCCTCGCTTAAGGGTGATAATCCGTTCCAGGAAAATCTCCGTTAAGCGAAAACATTGTAAAGCGGGAAAAAAAACCCACTGAAACACATTGAAACCCCTTCAATGTGTTCCAATTGAGTCAAAACTCACCGTCCAGAGAAGATACTCCATAGGGCAGCCGTTTTCGCTGCCTGTCTTGCGAGGAATCCGTCCCAGAAAACAGCGGGGAGCTGTTTTGTTTACCCGGCGGCCATTTTGAAACCGCCGAGCAGCTGTTTTAAAATTGTCGTTTTGCAAAGAATCGGTTCCCGAAGCAGGGAACCGATCATCGCAAAGCAAAAACAAAGCAAAAACAAAACAAAAACATTTAGACCATCGTCTAAAAAGATGTTGTGATGTGGTTTCATCATAATGCGGGGCAATCGTAAAGCGAGGCACGACTGTACCATGGGAACATGGTAAGGACCAAATGGAAGAAGTTGGTGTTTGAAGACACTTTTTATACCTGCTTTCCATCAGAAGAGAGATTGCCAAGAGAAGTTGGCAAAGATACACTTCAAAGGGGCCAAGCTATTGCCCTCCTGTTTAATTTGGTGATGTGGCAGTTTAATATATACTTTGATAGGCTTTGCTGTGTAAGTTTCTTCCTGTCTGGTAATTTGGGCTGATGGAAAAAGCACCATTAAGGAAACAATTCATTATCCTAAAGAGAGTTGAAAGAGATACTAGGGATGACTGAGATGTTTGTGACTTCAAGCGTATTGTTCTGTATATAGGAAGCTTGAGATAAATTATTTTTGGAGCTTAGCATCCTCTCATGAGGGAAAATACAGTCTCCCCACAACTAGTGTTCTGAGGAGATAATGTTTCTGGTAATAGATTTTGTTTCGGGATACATAACAGAGCTAGAAGAGCTAGACTTTCTTATTTTCAAAGTGTGTACTTCTTTTGGAACAGTCCAAAGCCTGTCATGCAATTTGCTGGTGACTTTGCTGTTTTAAGCTGAAAGGATTTTGGGGGTAACTTTTTACCTTTCTGCACCCATCATATCTTTCTGCTTATTTTTTTCCTTTTAAATAAAATACGGGGGAATGGAGTGTGGAATATGTTCTTTTACAATGATAAATAATACGTCTATGACATGATATTCAAACTAGGGAGGCCCGGAAGGAAAAGACAAGAAACCGGGCCTTCTCAGCGGTGGCTCCTCGCCTCTGGAACAACTTACCTCCTGACATTTGCGCAGCTCCCTCGCTGGGTATTTTCAAGAAACAACTGAAAACATGGATGTTTAGGCAGGCCTTCCCCCTTTCTACCTAATACCTCTTTTTCTGTTATAATATATCCCGTTTCTCGCCATCTTTGGGAAAAAATTTTATTCTATTTTTTAATTTATGTAAATTGTTTGTGATGTGGTTTGTTATATGTTTATTTTTAACTGCATGTTGTAAGCCGCCTAGAGTGGTCACAATTGACTAGATAGGCGGGGTATAAATGAAATAAATAAATAAATAAATATAACATGGAGACCTTAATGAAAGATGTGTGAGACTTTATGTATTTAAGATATCTGCTGCAAGAGAGCTGGAAAGATGGCCAGTATAAAGGAGAAATTGTCATCCTGTTGAGCTCAATGGGCTTCTCACCTCCTGCAGTTTTCTTGAATTCCCCCATCTCAAGGCAACAAAGTGCAGGGAGGTAGAAGAACTATCAGAGGGGCAACCCATGTACTGTGACATGGTGCCAGAGGCTAGACTGTGTAATCTACACAATAACAAATAAAAATGTATTCATTTACAAAGACTATGGGTTGTTGGAACTTGTGTGTCTCACAACTCAATGCATCCTGTAGCACTGCTGTATTAAATTTATATTCTTATGATATTTTAATTTGGTTTTACTCCTATATTTTGTACAATTATGATTCTTCTATGTTTTAATGGCATGTTAATCTCCAGTTTGATGGAAATGTGAAGATAAGAAACACGAAATCCCTTAAAATAAATTAGTAAGAGATTCCATCAAGGCTGTACTTTGAACTCACCAACAGCAACCGATTACAATGGCTGAGATGGAGAACCAAGGCCTGGTCAAGGAATTCATTGCCGGTGCTCATAGGCTCTGAGCCACTCTCTGAATTCAAATATCCAGCTACGTCTTCAGCAACAGCCTCCCCCACTGCTGGTACCCTGTCTGAAGGTACAGACTGTGTGCTGCTAACCTTCCTGTGAAAAGAAAATAACACTGATTTAGTCCTTCCTAAACCCAATGCTGTCCACTTTGGTAAATAAGGGGACCTAAAATGGTGTGCGTGTGTGTGTGTGTGTGGGGGTATTTGAGTCCTGTACATGCGGTTGGACTGCCACTTTTATTAGTCATAACAGCCAATGGTGACGAATGTTGGCAGAAGTAGTCAATACTCTTGGCCTAAACAAGACATTTGTTGTTGTTTAGTCATTAAGTTGTGTTCAACTCTTCGTGACCCCATGGACCAGAGCACGCCAGGCCCTCCTATCTTCCACTGCCTCCCGGAGTTGTCTTTCCCAAACAAGACATACACAGCTGCAATTACATCCTGCTGAGAACCACTGACTAGCATTGGTGGGCATCTTAATAAAAACTTTAGTTTTTCCATTCCTTTCCCATTTTAATTGCAAACTCTAGTCTCTCTTCCCTGTTTCCCTGAAAATAAGACAGGGTCTTATATTAATTTTTGCTTCAAAAACTCATTAGGGCTTATTTTCAGGGGATGTCTTATTTTTTTCATGTACAACAATCTATATTGATTCAATAGTTCTGTCATCATCTTCTGGTTGCTGCACAATGGCGGAGGCCAGGGTTTCACTCAACTGGGGGTTATTATGAGCATCCTGAAAAATCATACTAGGGCTTATTTTCAGGTTAGGTCTTATTTTCGGAGAAACAGGGTACTTCAGCTTAACATTATTTTGTCTCTGATTGCCATAATGATCTGAATCTAGTGCTCTGCATCAATGGGGCTTACTCTCAAGCCCAGAGCTTGGCAAATTATTGGCCCCTAAAAGTTTTGCACCATAACTCTTTGCAGTTGTCACACTGGCTGGAGCCAAGTGGAACTCTAGTCCAAAAGGTCTGGAATCACTAGGTTCTCTAGTCCTGCCTCAACAAAATATCCCACTTATCCCCAGTTTAGCTGTCAGCAGCCTACAATTCAATCTATAGTGAACTTTTCCAGTCTGCCCCATTCTTAATTACCCATCTTCTTCTCCATCTGAATCTTCAATATCAGAAGCATTGAGAAAGCTGAAACTCTCCAGGGCATGCTCCACTGTCAGGCTAGTGCTGGATGCTCGGCTCAGACAGACATTCTTTTTTTGCTGTTGAAGGGGGGAAAAGCATGTATCACACAGGCATCATTTCCTGTCCATTCTAGTAGTTGTTACCTTTTCTCCACAAAGAAATTTTGCTTTGGCCAGAGCAGGATCACCCATTTCCTGCTTCCACAGCTGCAAACACTTGAGTTACTACAAGGGAAATAACCTTGGTTATGGCTAATTTAGAGGCCTGGAAGTATAAGATCTGTCAATGTTGCTGCCACAGGCAAATCTGAAATGTGAGTGATGCACATTCTCAGCACTTATTTGCAAATCCAAACACATCTTCCAGTTCTGTCCCACAATGTCCAGCCCCTCAGTGTGCAAGGAATGGATACGGGTCTTCCAGGGAAGAGACACACCGCTCCTCTGTAGCTCCTTCGCCCCAGCGGTCAGAGAGTGTGCATGTACTGCAGGGTTTGTTATTAGCAGAGAAGCCAGGCTCCTTTCCAGGTTTAAAAAGGAGGACTGGCATGCAGCAATACGTTAACGCAATCAACCCTAAAGTGAACATTTTAAAAGGAAAAGAAACCAACTGGCACCCATTGCAGGAGCAAGGCAGCTCCCCCACCTCCCCGATCCTTGAGAAACGTAGAGCGGGGGAGGGGGACCAGGCCCAACTCTCGGCCGCTCAGTCCGGTAGTTCGAGCCCACACTGGCCGGGAAACAGAGCGAGATGGGATGCCCTTGCAGCCTGTGTTGGAAAGGGACAAGAAGAGGGAGGGAGGGAGGGAGGGAAACGAGGATCGCCTTTCAGGCCCCAACATCCCACCCCCACTGGAAAAGGCCATCAGCGGTGCTCTCTCCTCACACCCTGCGACTCCATCTCCGCTCAGCTCCTCTCCAAGTAGTGCGCAGGCAGTGGTGCAAGGCTGAGGAGCCGCCTTCAGCAGGCGGAGGAGAGGCAGAGGAGAAAGTCAGGAGGAGGAGGAGGGGGGCGAGCTGCTCCAGGCAGCTGCATCTTGTGGTGCGGCACCGGCTGGGAGGCAGGGGAGGAGGTGACCCTCCCAGGTGGGGCCACCCTGCCCACACACCCTTCGCTGCTGCAGCACAGGCTTCCCCACTCGGGGCTGTCCGTGCAGCGAGCCACCAGAGCGAGCGCTGGTGTGTGTGTGTGTGTGTGTTTGTGTCACCTGGTGGGCAGGAACGTGCCCAGCCTGCCAAGGTGCCAGGTGCAGCCGCTGCCCAGAGGCTCAGGGGTTGTCTTGGGTTCAGGTTCACTCCACTCCCCGCTCCCATCCCCACCTGGAAATACTGTAATGCTTTGAATAAATTAATTAAGTTTCGCTGTATTCCTATGGGAAACGGAGTTACAATCAACTTGAGTTACGACCATCTTCTGGAACCAATTAAGTTCGTAATTCAAGGCACCACTGTACTGTGTTCAGGAAGTGCAACTTTGCTACCCTACCCAATTGCTTTGTGCTAACAATTGGTAACAATTCTGCAAAAGACATAGAATAACACCAGAAAACAATGGAAACCAAAACTGAAAATTAAAGCATTCAGAATGAGCTAATCTATATCACTAATTAATTTTGGTTGGTTGGATTCTGGCATCTCATAATTTGCAATAGTTCACTGCAACGTTTAGGGATTACAATTTTTACCTCAGCACTAAGTATGCAAATGTTTGAAGTCACTTTTCTGTCCCCAGGCACAGACTCTTGCCCTTCACTTACCAGGATAATCTCTTCCAGGTGCTTGAGCTGCTGCTCCAGAGTTTGTAACTCTGGGAACTGGCCCCGGTAGTCATCCAAAGCAGATGCCAATGAGCTGATGGCCTCCTCCAGCCCACAGTCCATGGGTCTGGGTCTGGCTGCTTCCGAGACACTAGTCAGCTGATGGCGTTTGGGGGCTGCAGGGAGGGACAGAGTGAGTCTAGGTTGGTGAACTTGCTGGGATGGAGAGGCCGTGTCCCCACTCTCTTCTGCAAGAGGGGTAGTCTCCTCCGGTTCAGCCTTCAACTGTTCCCTTTCACTGATCTGAGCAGCATTGTCCTGCACTGAGTCCACACTTTGAGGCAAAGTGTTTGTTTCCAGGAGAGGCAACTCTTGTTTAGGACAAGAGTCTCTGGGGGTAGGGCACTCTTTGTCCTCTGCCACAGGCAGGTCCACACTGGCCTCACTGATCTGGCTAAGAGTCCTGGCATAGGGCACATGCCCATTAGCCACAGCCATCACTTCCTCTTGGAGGACTGGCAGTTCTTTGTCCTCAGGCTGTGTAAAGGCAATTTCAATGGCAGGTGCAACAGCTTGCACTGCAGGTTGCACCACTGGTCTGTGCAGAGTATGGCGGGCACTTCCAGAGAGTTGGGGGCTGGACGAATCATCTGACGACTCTGAAGAGATGGACCAAGCTGCCCCATTCTCCAGTTCCTCCTGTTGCCGCAACATGTTCTGGAGAGAATGCAGCACAGATAAGATGCAAGAGAGTGGCACTATATACTGAGTACTACATACCCATGCAAAAAAGCAAGCACTTTTCCTTACATTTAGGCACAAACACAGACACACACACACTTCCTGTCATGGCCCCCAACCCAACCACAGCATTTTAGGGTTGGAAGGGACCTCAAAGGCTATCGTGGCCCCCAACCCAACCACAGCATTTTAGGCTATCATATCCGATTCTTGACAAAGTAGTAAACCCACAACTAAAACATTCCTGTTCAGAAAACGTCCAATATAGGGGAGTGCACTGTCTTCTGAGGAGTCCATTCCATCATCAAATAGCTCTTACTGTCAGGAAGTTCTTGCTAACGTTTAAAAGAAATCTTCTTTCTTGTAATTAGAACCCTATGCAACCTTGTTCTACCCCAAGTCTTAGCATTTTTTCCCCATACTAGTATCTTCCCCTGGCCCCACCCCATACCTGGCAAAAGACAAGCTGTACTCAATCTTAATGTATTCATTCCCTTGATATTTCCAAGACATCTCTTCAGCCAGTTCCTTCAATATCTTTGGATGTAATATCCTATGGATTTTAACTCATTCGAAGTAGTAAGGCACTCCTTGACTATTTTTAATGAATCTCAAGCTGCAATCCTACCCCTCCTTCTGTACTTCACATTTGCCTGAAGGGTCATAGACTGTCTTTTCGGAAAAGACTGAGCTAAAGTTGGAATTGAGCACTTCTGCATTTTCTATGTCATTTGTTATCATTTTCCATCCATACCGAACAGCTGAGCCACTGTTTCTTTTCTCTGTCTTTTGCTATCCACATACCTGAAGAATGCTCTTTTGTTGCTTTTAAAGTTTCTTGCTAACCTCAACTTATTCTCAGCTTTTGTCTTCCTAATACCATCCCTACAATTCTTTGCTACTCTCGGCAATCAGAAGACCTAAAACACAGTACCAAGCAGCTTCCATCCCCTTGGTGAGGCGGGTCTCAACCCCGCACAGCCTCCTCCTCTAAGCCTGACTGTGGGAACCAAAGGCAGAGATGGATCATGTGGCATGGCCTGCTTCCCTCCCCCTACTCAGGCCTCGACACTTAAGAAAATGAGGGGATGGGACCAATGAAATTCTTGATGCCACAACAGCCACCTCCATCTACTGGCACCATGTTTCCCTTTGCTCTTGAAACACCTCCACACCCACTTGGTGCTCCACTTTCTGCAACCCCTTCAAGAATCCCAACACAAGATTCCCCAGCTTCCCTTAAGCCAGTGGTTCTCAAACTAGGGTGACCCAGGTGCACTTGGACAGTAATTTCTAGAAAGCCCAGCCGGCACAACTTGTGGTGAAGGCTTCTGGGAAGCAGTCCAAGAACACTCGGGTTACCAAAAGTTGGGAACCACTGCCTTAAGCTAAAGGCCAACAAGGCAGCTGCGGAATGGAAAGGCAGCCCAGCCAATCCCATCCCACGGTGTTGACCACACCTTCCTCTCATCTATCAAACAGGAACCAATTGATAAGGAAAATAAAGTTGAGAGGCGATGGAATGGACTTGCTCACTGAGGACTGTGGAGGGTTGTGGATGCTTGTTAGGAAGCTCTCAACACACATTTTGTCTGAATGCCAACCCATAACCCATTCCACCTCCCTCCGTTTCCCTAGGACTTCTTCCGCTATTATGCAGTTTTTCCCCACATGCCCCCAAATGCCCTGGTTAGAACCTCTGGGGGTACATGTACTCCAGTTTGGGAACCACTGCACTAGGTGAAAGGCTGGCAATGCAACAGGCAAACCAATGTGAGGAAGGAACTACGGCTACAAAACTGCAGAGGCAGAAACCTGCACTACTCCATCTTGCCTGCAGGGGCTGCAGCAAACTAGCAAATGGCCACTAAGGAACACCACAACCTAGCAAGGAAACAGAGGCTCATTGCTCAATGCTTACTACTGCAAAATGCTAGGAGTGTTCCTTGTGCTAAACCAGCTCTGGACTAAGCCTTATAAAACAGGAGGCACGGCACAGCTACAGGCAACTACGCTACTCTAGAGTGCCAGCACTTACTGAGCCCTGAGGTGCTCTCATGGCGAGCTGTACAGATGAGACATCGCTGCATGAGCAGCTCCTTGGTAACCTTTCCAGGACTGTCTCCCGGAAGATTTCTAGCAAGGCCCGCCTGTGCTTAGGGGCAGCATCCTGTGGCAAACTCTTGGGCAGAGAAAGAGACAGCCATCAGCACCAAGAGCTTGACATTGCAGCCATCACAAGATGGTATCCCAGTTTGATCACTTGTTGTTGTTTAGTTGTTAAGTCGTGTCCGACTCTTCGTGACCCCATGGACCAGAGCACGCCAGGCCCTCCTGCCTTCTACTGCCTCCCGGAGTTGGGTCAAATTCATGTTGGTCTCTTCAATGACACTGTCCAACCATCTCATCCTCTGTCGTCCCCTTCTCCTCTTGCCTTCATACTTTCCCAACATGAGGGTCTTTTCAAGGGAGTGTTCTCTTCTCATGAGATGGCCAAAGTACTGAAGTCTCAGGTTCAGGATCTGTCCTCAGGGTTGATTTCCTTCAGAATGTCTAGGTTTCTTCTCTTTGCAGTCCAGGGGATTCTCAAGAGTGTCTTCCAGCACCACAATTCAAAAGCATCAGTTCTTCAGCGGTCAGCCTTCTTTATGGTTCAGCTCTCAATTCCATACATTGCTACTAGAAAAACCATAGCTTTGACTATGCAGACCTTTGTCGGCAAGGTGATGTCCCTGCTTTTCAAGATGCTGTCTAGGTTTGTCATCACCTTCCTCCCAAGAAGCAGGCATCTTTTAATTTCATGGCTACTGTCACCATCTGCAGTGATCATAGAGCCCAAGAAAGTAAAACCTCCGTATCTGCCTCCATATCTTCCCCTTCTATTTGCCAGTGGCCATGATCTTAGTTTTTTTGATGTTGAGCTTCAGGCCATTTTTTGCACTCTTCTCTTTCACCCTCATTAAGAGGTTCTTTAATTCCTCCTCACTTTCTGTCATCAGAGTGGTATCATCTGCATATCTGAGGTGGTTGATATTTGTTCCGGTAATCTTAATTCCGGTTTAAGAATCATGCAGTCCGGACTTTCGCACGATGTATTCTGCCTATAAGTTAAATAAGCAGGGAGACAATATACAGCCTTGTCGTACTCCTTTCCCAATTTTGAACTAATTCGTTGTTCGATATCCAGTTCTAACTCTTGCTTCCTGTTCCAAATATAGATTTCTCAGGAGATAGATAAGGTGGTCAGGCACTCCCATTTTTTCAAGGACTTGCCATAGTTTGCTGTGGTCCACACAGTCAAAGGCTTTTGCGTAGTCAATGAAGCAGAAGTAGATGTTTTTCT